TTCTAGCCTCCTAAACTGGGAAAAAAATAATTTGTTTGTTAATCCCATCCTCTTTGCATATTTCTATAATAGCAGCACTAAATAGGACACCTTCTATGGGCTAAACATTGTAGATGATGCTGAAGAAAGATGAATGGTACCAGCCTCCATGCAATTTATAGACTACAGAGAAGAATGGCAATAAAACAGCAATTATAAAATATTAAATATTTATAAATACATAGGTGCCATGAAGATCTTATTTTTGTCACATATTTGAAAAATCAATCAAAACAATTTTAAAATCTTTTTGCGAAAGTTCTTGAAAATACAGTTCACTGCAGCAGGCACGCTGATTTATTTCTACTATTTCCAGATTTCTAAGCCCTCTCAAGTTATGAAGTCCCTGCTTGCCCTGACAGAAGTGTGACCAAGTGTAGCTCAGGGCTCACAGTAGTGAGTCCACCTACAGTCCCTTTTATGTTCCTTTCTTCAGGCCAGGCTACTCATCAGAGCAGTGACTGAACTGCAGCCAACAAGGGGTGGGGGGTGGGGGGAACTATGACTGCAGGCTCTCTGCTGTCCAACTAGGGCAAAATTTTCCATGACACCAGCGAGAGAAAGATACACCAGTGAGATCAGGATGTTAGTAAACATCCTGAGGCTCAGAAATTCCCCTTCCCCACTGTGAAGAAAAAGGTATGGCATTTCACAGTATTCTGTCTGAGAGAGCCTTTGTACATATGGTGATGTCCTTCATGAGTCTGCAGTTTCTCTTTGATTCTCTAGGTTTTACATGGACTTAAAGCTCAACCATTACCCTCACACATACATTGCCTTGCAGCTTTATCATGATAATGCAAATAACGGCTATGGAAAGTGACCCATTATTCTCATCTACTTTAAATGTGGAGAGTCATTATGTTGAATTAGAATCACTGACATAGTATAATTATAGGAAGAAAAGCTTGGTTCAGAACATTCTTTTTTCTTATTAATATAAGGAGGTCAAAATTGCATATGCCAGATGTGTTTAGCTCCCTACAACAAATTTCCAGAGTGTCAAAATAAGGCATTCAGAATATACTCTTGAGACCCAGAACGTGATATTAGAGGATTTAAGATTTATTGAAGCTACAGAGCTAATGATAGCAAAACCCTAGCAAGCCAGAGTTAAAACCAGAGAAAAGAAACATGCTATATTAATTTCTGTAAGCAACAGACCATCGAAGTGAGATGTCAAGTTCAAAACCAGTTGCCATAGTATAGACTCCAATTCATGACAACATGTGTGTCAGAGTAGAACTACCTTCCATAGAGTTTTCGGTAGTTGATTTCTCAGAAGTAGACTGCCACACCTTTCTTCCGACCAGCCTCTGGGTGTAATCAAATCTGCACCCTTTCAGTTATCAGCTGAGCGTGTTAGCCATTTCCGGCGTTCAGAGATTCCAGACATCAAGTTAGCGTCTCCTTTTATTTTAAGCATCTTTAAATATATATATATATAATTTTAAAATGGAAAAGTGAAATGATACAAAGAAGACAAGTATAATAGTGCCACTAAAAATAAGTGCATATCCTCACAACACTGCTGGGGAGAATATTTGGTATCATGAGAAGAATAGTAGCTTTAGAACTCACTCAAACCAAACTCACTGCTGTCGAGTCCGTTCCAACTCATAGAGATCCCTCCTCCTAGGAAGGAAGGTTGGGCAATCCTACTTCTGTAGTGATACTGCCTCGGAAACCCAAGGAGGGGTCACTATGAGTCGGGGCCAACTCGACAGCATATAACAACAACAACAACAACATCTCTAGGGAAGTAGATTGCTCACTCTTCCTTCTACTTCTGTAGAGACACCACCTCGGAAACCCAAGGAGAGGTTGCTATGAGTCAGAACCAACTTGATGGCAGTGAGTTTGGTTTGAGCGAGTTCTACGCCTACTATTCTTCTCATGATACCAAATATTACCTGAATTCAAATCCTAGCTTTGGTTTTCTCTAGCTGTGTAGCCTTGAGCAAGTCACTTACCATGTAGCCTTGAGCAAGTCACTTACCTTCTCTGAACCTTATGGTTTCATCTGTAAACGTGAAAGATAACAGAGTAATTTTAAGACAAGATTTAATATAAATAAAACGTACCCTACACGTGGTAAAAACCCATTGCCGTCAAGTCAATTATGACTCACAGTAACCCTATTGGACAGAGTAGAACTGTCTCTTAGGGTTTTCAAGGCTGTAATCTTTACAGAAGCAATCTCCACATATTTCTCACACAGAGCACCTGGTGGGTTCAAACTGCTTTTGGTTAGCAGCTGAGAACTTAAACCCCTGAACCACCAGGACTCCTCCTACACATGGTAGAAATGTAGTAGACGTTGATCATCATGGTACTTGTTGCTGTTATTTTTAATGAAAGAATGTGACAGAGGGGGAAGGAACCAAGCAAGATTATGTAACCAGAGATTTGGGTACCCATGATCACTTTTTTTTTTTTTTTTTAATCTATTTGAAGTAAAGATGTTCCTATTCATTTACGACATGTTTCTGAATGCAAGTAAACCAACACCAAAGTCAATTGCCATCAAGTCTATTATCACTCATAGCGACCCCATAGGACAGGGTAAAACTGCCCCATAGGTTTTCCAAGGCTGTAATCATTGTGGAAGCAGACTGTCACATCTTTCTCCTGTGGAACAGCTGGTAGGTTTGAACTCCTAACCTTTCTGTTAGCAGCTGAGTGCTTAACCACCGTGCCACCAGGGCTCCTAATGCAAGTGTACAGTCTCAATATTTGTCGTCACTATACACAATTTTCATTGAACTCATTAAGCACAATATTCTTTTTAAGCTGTGTATGTTCTTCAACATGGTGTTTACTAACCCTCCCTCTTGTTATCAAAACTCTTTCTTCTCATTCCTTCCTTCCTTTTAGGGTGTGAGCTATTTCTATCGTTAACTTCCAGGGATCTGAGAAAAGACCTGCTTTATATTTTGGCCTTTTAATCAGACCAAAAGACAGATTACATTGTGTGCAGATATTCTAGAAGGAAGTTTTTTCCAAAGAATGTTCTGTTGTAACCTCCTCACTTTGATGATGAGAATCTATGCTTTTTCTCCCCACTTTATTCTATTTAATTCTTAGCATCTCAGAAGAGACCCCTGCAGAATACTCCATCGCTCTGGGTCTAAACACACTTTCCAGTCTCTTTATTTTTTTTCATGTAGTTTGTTCCAGTGAGAGGTCTCTTCTAATAGTTTCCAGCATGATAACCGCACATCCCAAGAGTGCTACAGGCGAATGTAAAAAGTTTTCCAAAGAATGTGATTAATACTATATCCCTAAGCAAGCAATTAGGCATCCTGTATCTGACACATAAGATTGAGAAATATTAATCTGTAGGAATGTCTCCCCTTTTGTGAAAGACTCTGTATTGCTTCAGCTGGTTTTGTTTTAAAGCAGAGAATTTATATCACAGTAAATTCTAATTAGAAAAGACCTAGTTCCCAATGTGGGGTGGCATTCTGTAGCTTTTCTCTCACTTTCTCTCTCTCTCTCTCTCTCTTTTTTTTTTTTTTTCCCCCTTCTCTTCCAGTTCTCCCAGACTCTCTGAGGAATATTTCCATTTTCCCATTCAAATGTCAAAAACTACTCTAGGGTTTGTTGTGTTGTTAGGTGCCACTGAGTCAGTTTTCAACTCCATGTGAAGAATAAAACTGCCTGATAGTGTTTTTGTGGCTGTTATCTTTATAAGAACAGATCTCCAGATCTTTCTTGGTGAAGCTGCTGGTGTGGGTTCAAATCACCAATCTTTCAATTAACAGCCAAGCACTTAACTATTGTGTCACAGTACTCCTTGATCTAGGGTGTAATATCTATGAATTTTTGGCCTGTTTTTTCAATGTTCCCTGTGCTCCCCAGGTGTTTAATCTGCTTATTAAATTCAGTAGTGGAAAGGTAGGGCTAGCTTTAAAAAAAAAAAAACAATTTAAAAGCCAAATCTATCAGTTTAACCTAAATAAGCACATTTTTATTCAAAAGTTATTGTTTTCCTAATATGTTAAAACAAAAACCACATTCACCACCATCAAGTCAATTCCAATTCATAGCAACCCCTACTGGGTTTCCGAGGTGATAAATCTTTAAGATAGTAGATTACCCAATCTTCCTTCTGCAGCAGTAGGTTTGAACCACCAACCTTCTGGTTAGCAGTCACATGCCTTAAGCACTGTACCACCAGATCTCCTTTTCTAATATATTAATGTTTCTCAATTGGTAATTTTGTGTTTTACAATATATGAATCAGTAAATTGCCAGGAATTCTTACCTATGTCTCTGGGTAGGAAGAACTACTTAATTCTCTCTCTCCCTCTCTCTTTTTCTTAAACAGAAATAATATCTTCCATTTCCTACAGTTTATAATATTTATAATTTATTTAGAAGAACTATTTCTCAGCCTGCATTTAAAAATCATGTCACTTTGTCTGGTATACCTGAAAGGTTGGAAATAATGAAAAGAATGGGAATAAATGGCTTGGAATAGATTCTACTGGGGTCACAAAATGAGGCATTGTTATCACTTGCCCTATGGCAATGGAATAGGAGCTCTGGTAGCATAGTGCCTAAGGCACTTGACTGCTAACCAGAAGGCTGGTGGTTCAAACCCACCAGCTACTCCTGGGAAGGAAGGTTGGGCAATCCTACTTCCGTAGTGATACTGCCTCGGAAACCCAAGAAGGGGTCGCTATGAGTCGGGGCCGACTCGACAGCAAAACAACAACAACAACAACATGGCAACGGAACAGAGAAAGGGTAGTTATAGTGATGGTATATGTAAGACTACTCTGGTTAAATGGAAAGATAAGTGATAATGCCATTGCCACTTTTCTCCTGCTCCAGTCCCTGGCTCAGTTTAAGGTCATTGGTACTACAATTCACCCTTGTCCAAAGTTTCAAGAGACCCAGAGAACACCTCTACTGTCACACTAGTTGCTCTACTTCCCTATTGTCTCCTGCAGATCCGTAACTTGGGACCCGCTGACAGTACAGTCCAGTTCATCTTCTATCAGCCTATCATCCACCGATGGAGGGAGACAGATTTCTTTCCTTGCTCAGCAACCTGTGGAGGAGGTAATGGTGTTTGCTTAGCCCAGACACTCAGTTTCTGCAAGGAAAGACTTGGCTGTTATAAGACTACAATGGCAATAGCATGGGAGACATTTAGTGCTGTGGTACAATAGATACTTTCTTCTGCATGAGGCCAAATCCTGAGGTCCTCATGAAAGTCAGATACCACAGTCAATATGCTCTATGTGAACACTGTCTGTCTGTAGAATCCCATTAGAGGAAAAGGTCTTTATTATTTTCCTTACCTCACTAGAAGGCTGGGAAAAGAAGTATCATAGCTTAATAACAGTTTGGTCGAGATGAGTCCATTCATCTCTGTTAAAGTGAACTCATTTAATCAAGAATCAAGAGGAAAGTGTCCATTAGGCTTGCTATAGTATGATGTGTTCTAAAGAATCAGAGACTATAATTTAATTGGGGGAAATAATTTATTGTTGGGGAAAAAAAAATGACTACATTGTAGACTTAAGCTGAGTTATGTTTGGCTCCTCCCTGTCATCCATTCATTAAAATGAATACCGTTTGCCTTATATATTTGTGGAAATGCACCTCTCTAGAAAAGTCACAAAATGAATCTCTGCTCCATCACACCTGCCACATGGGAAGCACATTGTGTTACTGGAAAAAGTTTTTTTGGTTTTGGTACCCTCCCCTCATTTTTGTTCTTCATAATTTAATGGTTGCATTATTTCACCATAATTTATTTAGGCATTCCTGTATAGCAGATCATTTCATTCATTTAAATTTTTCTACTATTACAATGAATAACTTAATACATAAGTATTTTTCTCTTTTCAGATTATTTCCTTGGCATAAATACTCAAGAATGATAATATTAGGTCAAGGAGTTTCAGAATTTTTGTGGCTGTTGGCATATTTTACCAAACTTCTTTCCAGAAGGGTAACGAGCAGTATTTGAATATTTTCGTTTCACTGCCAACTAAGCCAGCATTTGTGGATTACCATCTTTAAAGTTTTGCTCATTTAATGGATTTAGAATTGTGTGTTTATTCCTTTTAAAACAAAGCTCATCAAATAAATTCTAGATCCAGGTCATGGAAACCAGTTAATTGTGTGACTTTAAGCAGCTTATCCACATAGATTGTTGTTAAGTGTTAGTTGAGTTATTAGCCATTGAGTTGACTCCAAGTCATGACAACTCCATGTGTACAGTCTAGCACTGCTCCATAGAGTTGCAAAGGATATGATTTCTTGGAAACAGATGACCAGGCTTTACCTCCGAGGCATCTCTGGGATGGGTTTGATCCACATAGGTATTACTAGATTATTTTGACAGGAGATAAGAAGGCTAGCACCTCAAAATGGAGACACATGATTATCCATCAGTTTTTGTAAAACAATAAAAATGTTTGATGTGATTCATTTTTAGCTATGATATTTGTACCTTCATAATGTGAGTAAACCACTGAAAATGATTCTGTAGAGCAGAATAGGATTTCAGCTTAAAAGTGTTGTTGTTGTTGTTAAGTGCTGTCGAGTCGTTTCCGACTCATAGCGACCCCATGCACAGCAGAACGAAACACTGCCCGATCCCGCGCCAGCCCCACAATCCATGCTATACTCAAGCC